TCGAATAGTGAGTATATATTACAGATTAAATCGAGCATTTTAATTCTTAATTCCGGGTAAAAAGCAAAGATTTTTTTCTCTCAACTCTTACCAACGTAGGCCTCTCATATAAACAACCTTAAAACCTTCCTTCTCTCGATTAGAAAGGCTTATTTGAACGTATCAAGACAGAATCCTTCAAATCTTAAATATAGTACCAGTCCCACGTTTTTACTTAAAGACAATTTGGATCAAGGATTATCACCACGAATCGATCCTTCCATAACGACGTTAACGGATAAACAACGCGACGAAATCGACCTACATGCAAAAACAATAATTCAACAATGCCTTAACAGAATAAAAGAATTGGAAGGAGCCGAACAAGGTAAGTATCATAAAACCATCCAGTAGTTTTAGACAATATTTTTGTTTAATGATTTAATTTATATTATTTTTTTAGTTCGCCAAAGTTCAATTGCAAATAATACATGGACTAATATTTTATCAACCATTTTTTCCTCTGACGAACGTGATGTGTTGGCCGCAATACGAAGCAGTATCACATGGTTTTTAAATAAGAGATTAACCGAAGTTTCGAAAATTCAAAAGGATCAACAAGAAACTAGGATAATGAAGGAAATTGAGAAACGCGAAAGGTATGAACTATTGATTAATTTGAAAGCTTTTATGTTTCATTAATATGCTTAACTTTTTTGTATCTCACAAAACAGCACGTTATATAAACCAATAGAATCAAAATCTCCTTCGCGGCCATCATCAGTAATTCAAACTATGATAAATGAAGAATCAGAAACACCTACGAAATCTGATAATGAAATGAGCAGTAATATAGAAAGTGATTATGACATTGAACAGCACTTATCTGCAGAGCAGAAAATGGTACTAGAAAGGGAAAATGAATCTATGATGAAGGAATTAGCTACTGCATTAGAGCAAGTCAAGTATGTAATATTCAAATTTATTAATTTTGAAAAAATGGCTAGAAATTAATAATTTTTATTGAAATAGTCAAGCAGAAAAAGCATTATTGGAAATCTCAACCTTACAATCCGTCCTATCTAATCACTTGGCTGTACAAACTCAACAAACGGATCGTCTATATGCTGAGGCTATTGCTATCACAGACAGAGTTCAAGAAGGAAATTTAATGTTAACAAAAGCTAGACAAAGGGCTTCTGATACAAGAAAATGGATTCTTGTATTTTTAATATTAGCGAGTTTTGTTTTATTGTTTTTAGATTGGTACGATTAATGTATATCTTTTTATAAATCATAATTTGAAAAAAGACATTTTGTTGGAATTTTTAAATTTTTGTAAATGGATGTAATTTTTTTTTAGATTTAATTTAGTCGAATACTTTTATGACATATTTTTATTTGCAAAATGGAATTGACAACTTTGCCAATTGAGTGTTTCAAAAAAAAAAAAATACATAGACATGCACTATACCATGCTTGTCATTGTTATTGATAAATAAAAATAACACTACATATAATTATTATACGAGTTTTATTATTCGTCCGCAGTTTCAGTTTCATCCTTTTTTTCTTCAGCAGCATCTGAAGCATTCTTATCGTCCTTCTTCTTTTTGTTTTTCTTCTTTGGTCGCAAACTGGTAGCCAACAGAGATACAATTTCTTCATCTTCCACTTTTTTATCACTTTGAATAATCTCTGGATCGTAAAATGTGTTTGTAATTTTAATTGATCCATTTTTGGTTAAAAGAACTGTATTAAAGAACTGTGCCACAAAATCTCCTATAAAAAAAGTATTAGAGTTAAATTATATATGAATTATATATGTAATAATATATATTAATGTAAACGAATATTATATACCTTCTTTTCCTTGATACACATCATATGGTGTCACTAATGCGTGACTTGCACATTCAGCTATACCCAATCTAGCCTTTTTTTCATCTTCCAACGCTCTCAGGGGGAAAGGAAAAGTGCCAAATTTTTGACTAATCTCATTAAATATGAGACGTGACGTTTTGATCTTTAAAGAATATGTATTTCCAGTCTTTTTATAAACAGTGGTACGGACAGAAGAAGGCTTAGGCTGTAATAAAGATGTATATATATGATGAGAAGAATAATAATGTATTAAAAAATTTGAGGAATAGATTTTCTTACTTTTCCTTCCCCAGTTGAGATCAAGATATCAA